CTTAAAATGACGAAATATTTAAGTGTTGAGAGAAGCAAGAGAGTGAAACGCAGGTAGAGTCTTCATTGAACAAAGTAGGTACAGGGTATTTGAGAGTAAGGGGGAATAAGGGCTAAGAGGCAGTAAACGGTTTCAAAATGGAAATAAAATAAGACAGCGGTGACATGGCGGTTTAGGGCAAATGGAAGCTAGTTGCAACTTCACTCAAAGAGGCGCAAGACGAAAAAGAGAATTGTGCAAATCCACTTAAGAGAACTACAAAGTTTCTATTAAAAGAGAACTTGAAACAGGAGCAAGTCGCAAGAGAAGAGCTGGAGCGAGATCCAGCGCAGCCGGAAGGTGCAGTCCGAGGACTGCGAAACGGCGACGAGGCAAACCCAGGAAGGCGGCGGGGCCGGCGCAACTGCTTCTAATTAGGTCCCTTGCTTTTTAATTAACTAATTGAAGTCTGAAGGCGGAGGCGTGGGCGCGGCGTGGGCGGCCGCCTGCGGCGCCGGCGAACGCGTTAGAGGGCGCTTTGCACCCACCGCACAGCGGGACGACAAAACGGAGCGCGGAGCGGAACGGCTCACTCGGGCATTCGCGAGGAAGAACATACAGCAAAAAACTCTTTAAGATGTGTGTAATATGCCGGTGGCTCATAATAAATGTTATGAACATGACTCGGCTTCGCAAGACATGTCATCTTTTTATTGGTGCATTCTAAACAAAGCTAACTTATAAATGAATGTTTATAATGGCATATAAGCGATAGAGATATGTATATATTTTCTCATTTGTTTGTCATTTTTCAATTGTTTGGTCATTTTTTACACCTTTGAGTCATTGTTGTAATTTTTACGCATTTTGTATACTTTCCGGGTTTTTGTTAGTGAATGTTTAATGAATTTACAATGCCACACTAAAACAAAGTTTTAATTTTATCATTAGTTCATGACGAAATATACTACTGTAATGGACTTCGTTTTTTGCACTCTTAAAAGTACGCGGATCTCCATGTCACTTATCTTCCTCGACCTTTCAAAACCAACGGTTGGAAGATCGGAGTTGAGGAATACATTTTCTTCCAAGATAAAGACTTTTTATTAAACATAACTTTATAAAAATACATTTTATTTTATATTATAAAAATTATTGAATAAGCGAACCTTTTCATACAAATTTTTGAATATTTTTTTTTAAATAGGTCAGTTTATAAATCTTTTTTTAAGTCGCTTATAGGTAATTTCAAAGAATTTTTAAGTCATCTGAATCCAAACCCTGGTTATGAATCTCCATACTATGAGGGGCCAAAGATGATCACTTTTTCTGTGAATATGTACAAAATCTCACGTGACAAAGGTACATAACTAAGTTTTTTTAACAGGACGCTCCTTTTTGGTAGGCAATTCATCTTGCTCTTGTGTTTGGCAGGTACAATAACTCTCCCAATCGGCAAGTGATCTTTGACGTCTAGTTGTATTGTGTTCTTCCTTTCTCACCCCTATCATCATCATATCGTGTCATCCTCATAGTTGCCATACCGTCACACGCAATAGTGGTCGCTAATGACCTAGTAGTTGATGCGACCTTAAATAACAAAAATAAGCTGATATATAATTTGCGTAGGCATGTGTACAGTTGAAAAGTATAGTACATCCCTTACGATTAACTAATAAAACATTCATTGTATCCTAATATTTGATTTATCATTTTTAAATAACTGATTTTACAATTCTCAAAGGACATGTGCGGTTTCCTTTTTTCTCTGTTGATTTTAAACCAATGATTTATGGATAGTTCCTTAGACATCTCGCCCCTTTTCTTGCATCCCTTCATTTCGCTCCTGTTGCCGTTGCTAAAGTCTACCTTGCGCTTTTCGTCTCTTCACGGTTCCTCCTCGTTTTCATTGAGCACTTAATCCAAAATGTTTCGGGTGTATGAATTTTGTTCTGCATCTCATATAATTAGCATGTAATTTCAAATGATAAGGTAGTCTGTTAACTTCAGAAACAAAAAAATGTAATTTACAAACAAACATGATATGGTATCCACAAAAGGTACTTCCACAAACGTTTCACAAATAACTCGCAGCAAATTATTCATAATTGCAGATTTTGGCGATGATATACCGAGATACACCACATTATATTATATATTATAAGAAGTTATTTTCTAAAAATACTTAAATAATTGGGTGACAATACACATTACATTGCTTACTTTTTTGTGCATTTTGCTTTTTTGTGTGTATATTATACAAATAGCATACAGATACAAAAACATAAACACTAATTTGAATCAACGATATTAATGTAAGACATACTTTACTTTTCGTAATTATTACTCCTTTATTACAGTAATACAAAAGTACTTTTACCTAGTTGCCATCCAGAGTTTGCTGTAGATTTCTCAGAGGAGCTTTACCTTATCCGTCGACATTCATTGTCATCTGTGCGTGTATCCATCATCATCATCTATTCATCCATTCTCTCTCGCCCATGCACTCAGACATGCATCTTCTTTTTCTTCTCACTCAGCCAACCATCCACCTATAATTATTTAGTCCTCACATTATCATATGTTTCATGCTAAAACCAAAGTCATAATACCTGTTGTGAACATATTCAATCTCGTGTATAAAGAATCACATGTAATGCTGATTAAATATAACTTCAGTTTTAAAACAACAACAATAAACTTGTTCCGTGCTTTTTACATAAATTCTCCTCGAGACAATCTTTAAATAAAAGTTTGCGGGATAATACAATGAACCTTTACACTTTCAATTATAATCTGATAAAATTTGTAGTATTTTGTAGTATGCTCTTCCGCCATTCTTGCGGCAATTTTTCTACTTCCCTCCAGGCAGTCCACGGGCACAAGAAGCTTCCCCCGCATGAATGGCACGTAATGCACGCACGGACGTTAGCGGCTCAGAGAAGGCCGCCGGCCAAAGGCATGGGAGAAGAGCGCGCAAGACGCGGCAATGCGGCTCTGGCGCGCTCTCACCGCGATGCATAAATCCCACTAATTACCCACCCCCGCCGGTGAACTTGCCTGCAGGGGGCGCCGTGCGCTGCTCGGCGCGGCGCGGCGGGGGCGGAGGGCGAGGCGAGGCGAGGCGAGGCTGAGCGGGCCGCGGGAGAGATACTTTTCCATTAGCCACCCCGGTGCCCCTCGTCGCACGTAGACGAAGTGCAGGTGCGGGTTTGGGAACGCTGCTCTGAAAGCGATGTACCCATACCGTACACTACCGTAGGTACTAAAAGGAACGAAATTAGCCACTGGATCTACCCACAATGCTATCCGCTCAATGTCGATAGTGAAATCGGATATAAATTGTTACTGATGTAGTTAATGTCGCACTATGCACCTTACTGGCCATAAAGTATTGAAAATAGATGTACTTTATTCGATAATAAAATAAAATGCACGTTACATTATTTATATTTTTAAGCATGTAATTTCTATTAAGCTCCAACTTTGAAATATTAAATATTTATTTTTATTACATATATGTTTTTAAATAAACATAAAATATCACATAACGCGTACTTAAAACATAAATACTGTAACATACGGTTTTGTCGCAAAAATTAATTTAGATTGATAATCGTTCAAGGGAATGGATAACTAGACGTCTTGCTTTTGCGAGAAATTATGAAAATGAGGATCTCACGTTTATGGCCGGGATTACTCGGTAAAAGGCCTGTGTCAAAGATATTTTATAGAAGAAAAAATATTTTATAGAAAAAAATATTTCTTTTATGAAATTTCTTTGATAAATTGTACTTTGAAGCTTTTAAATTTATCATAAGAGTGGTGACATGGCGGCTGAAAAATACATGTAAGGTATTGCTTCAACCAAAGTTTTAATTACAAAGTGTGATCAATTAGCATTTTTATATACTACCGTCAATACGGGGTTCAAAAATAAAACCAAACGAATTGAAAGGTGTGACTCAATTTCTCCGAAGTGGAAAATGCGGGGTATAAAAAATGACCAATTCGTAAAGTTAATTTACTTTAACCCCAAAATCAGAGGACCCACTTTCGAAAGGATGATAAAGAAAATGACTGTTGTCTCGTTCGTCGACAAATAATTCATATAGGTCTCCAGGATTTCAGTTCGAATTTTCTTAATTAAAGTGTGATTGATTCAAATTTTTCAAAATTGATTCAAATTCAAAATTTTTAAATTAGGATTTTCCCAGATTTTTCTGTATTTTTCAAATTCAAGTGTATCTTGCAAATTTAGCCCTATTAACATATCTAGATTCTATAATTTTATCACTGAGCTGGCCAATATTTTAAAAGCAAAACATTGCATGAAAGTTCACTTTCAAAATACTTTACATTATTAAGTTAAATGTTTAAATTTTTAGAGAACGTTACTTCCTTCTTAGGAAAATAATGAGAATTATTAAATGAATGCACTTACGTCATTTCACAAAAAGTGAGTTAGTTTAAACATGAACAAAATTCAGAATCAGAAAATAAAAATCTATTCAATTTAATCTTGAAATACTTCATTTAATATATTTCTCTTGTATGTGAACGATATTTTTATTGTATATAAACTATGTGTGTCGGAATTGTTCAGAAAAGCTAAGGAACTAAATGTGTGCACATTTTAACGTAGAAGAGGAGCCACATTATTGCTTTACGCTGATTTGAATATTTCATGAGCTTTATTGCCACTTGTTTTGCAACTTGAAATAAAACATAGTGTCCGTGCGAGGTTAGAAATACATGATGGGCGACAGACACCATAAACACGACCTCACTATAGGGGCGCTGGAAGTTGTCTGACAAGTCAGAACTACGCTTGATCTCAACTTATCAGGCAATGGATGTGGAGTTAGCAGATGATACTGCAAAATTGTATTTATCGAATTTTTATCATACGTCGTATGCTAAGGCACTGAATTTTGATTCAAGGATTTCAAGAAAGTATTACAGAGCCAATTACCAGAATTTCCTATTTGAAAGACGCGTTCGTGTGAATACGTGTGCAGGGTGCCGTGGAAGGCGGGAGGGCTGGACTTGGACGCCGAGGAGCACGAGGCCTACCTGAGCCGCTTCCGGGAGCTCGTCACCGCCAAGCTGGCGGCGCTCATCTCGCGCAGCCTGGAGGAGGAGCCGGAGCCCAAGGCGCGCAACAAGACCGTGCAGGTGAGCCCGCTCCCCCCCCACGCGCACCTGTCAGCGTCTCGACGAACACTAGCTCTGTCACTTCTCCACCAACCACTACTGCACCACCTACACCAACACCAACATCTCAGTAACCGTACCAAGACAACAACGCTATCGAACCCAACACAACCAACACCAACTCAAACAACACTTCCATCGCCGCCACAACCACCACCACCACCACTACCATTACCACTACCATTACCATCACCACTGCCACTACCATTACCACCACTACCACCACCGCCGCCGCCGCTACCGCTACCGCCACCGCTACTCTCGCACCATTACCACCACCACCATCACCACCACCCATCACTACCACTACCAACAACACCGCAGAATATATTCCGCAAATATGTTGCAAATTTTTATTCCCCTTTTACTTTCTGAGGTTGTGGATTCTTGTAACATGTATCAAGGTACAGAACGTCTAATGTTTGGTTACTTGCGAAAAAGCTAACAAATTCTAAAATCGTTTCACTCAGTATCTGTTAAAATTTACTAATTACTTCACCATAAGCTTTTACAGAATAAAATTAATCGTGTCTAGCTTCCTTTTCTTCGACACTAAACTCTTACAACTATAACACAACATGCTTTTGTAATAGCTTTAATACTTTTAATGGCTCTAAAGGCATTTTATTTTCTTTGTAACCCCCACTTCCAACTTCATTTTCTACTTCTCACTCAGTTGCTGAATCCAATCTAATGTTGAAAAGGGGTCTCAGCATGTTGAGGGAAGTCGGATGGCTCCAGAGCACTAACAAAATTAGTTTTGGGGAAGCCGTGGAAAAGCAAGCTTCTATTTCCTTCTCATTAAAGATATAGGAACATAAAGGCCGTGATGAATATCCTTGTTTACTGTGTAGAGCCTCCCTGACAATGAGAAGTTTGTCAAAATATTTCTGCAATTAAGAAATATGCGATTGAGCTTTGTAACAGAAATTCATTGTGTGATATTTTACAAGAGTGTAAGTGTACAAGTGTGAATTATTGGCGTATTTCAATGGGAGAATGGAGTTGTGTGTCGACATCGTACCTTGCATTGAAACGTAGTGTTAATATAGTCAGAGAACGCCAACTGTGTGTCTACATCGAATGCTGCTGTGATTCCTTGAGATCGACAAAGGCATCTGTGGCATGCATCGAAATGCGATATTATAATACCGTGTTATATACCGTGTTCGTCAGCGTGTGCAATAAAGGAAATTGATTCCATTTCATAACGGCAGACTGTTAAAGCTAAATTAAACTTCAGAAGCAAACAAATTCGAAACGAATTCCGTTACTTGCAATTCTTAGATAGAAAAACGAAGTGTACAACGCAATCATCTCATGAAACGATAAGTGGCCACTTAGTTGACTATGAAGGAACGTTTGCGAACAACCTTTTTCTTACATACAGGGAGAGGTGACTCAGAGCACCAACTGTCGCCACTGCCATGCATCTTACCAGGAGGTCCTAGGTTCGAATGTCGATCGTGGCGGGAATTTGGACACAGGCTGGAGAGCTAGATCAAATTCAACCGCTATCTGGATGAGAATTCGAGCGGCCAGCTGTTCTGATCAGTAGTTTTTCCGATCAACACTAGGCGAATGCCAGAGCTGTACCCTATCCGGTGCAGTACCTTAGCAAACGGGGCATGGACCGCGCGCGATTTTTCTTTCCCTTCCTTGTCCAATTTTCGACCCTTAATTACACACACTTACACTTGCATGCACTACACAATCAGGAGATTGGTAGGGAGCTTGCCCGGCTGGGACGATGCCTTGCAGAAGGGAAATACCTGGTTTTGGAAAACCTCGCTAGCCGTCAGGTAGTTCGGCACCGGATCTCACCATCCGACGGGCAAAGATCACCGCCATCTCCTGAGGTAGAAACATGCACTATTCATACGGGACTAATGACCATAGCAAGCGATGCGCCCGGAATCACTAATCAACTAAAATGAAGCATGCTTACTTATATACAATTCCACCGAAAGCAGCGTATGCCTAACAGTGTGGGTGGGTGTGCAGGAGGTGTTCCAGGAGAACCTGAGCCACCTGGCGCTGTGCCAGCAGCCGGCCGCCGTGGACTGGGGCGGGTCGGAGGTGCTGGAGCGCGTGCGCGCGCTGCTGGTGAGCAGCTACGAGGGCGGCGCGCGCCACCCGCCCGTGCTGCTGCTGGGGGCGCGCGGCGCGGGCAAGACGTCGCTGCTGGCCGCCGTGCACGCCCACGCCGAGCGCTGGTTCGGGCGGCGGCTGCTGCGCGTGGTGCGCTGCTGCGGCGCCACGCCGCGCGCCGCCTACAACCTCGAGCTGCTGCGCGTCGTCTGCCAGCAGCTCTGCCTGCTGCTGCACCTCTCCGACGGCTTCCTGCCCAAGGACGCCTCCTTCGACCCGCTCTACGTCAACAACTGGTTCCAGGTCAGTCGCCGCTCCTTGGCGAGAAAGGAGATGAAGCGTAGAAGAGTCATTAGTCATCTTCCCAAGACTATTGTTCTCAATTTTTAGAATCTACTCATTCACATCGAAACCCCCATTATATAATTCACATCAAAAGCTTCCTTGCAGATCACACTTTTTCAGCCCACTTTTCTGGAGCTCTTTCATATTTTTTCCATAATATCAGGAGTACCCGATTGATCTGTTCTCGCTCCCATACTATTTAACTTTTATACTGCCAATATACCATTATCCCCACATACCTCCAATTCTGACGATACCCCTATTATTTCTAAAAACAAGGTATTGACACTGCACAAAAAGATCTGCTACATCACGGCTACCCAGTCCTCCAACTAGGCCAAGAAATGATAATTCAGCAAATAAATCCAGCATGTCAAGTTAAAAGGATACGGCTATCAGCAAGACTTATTAAGGACTATCCAAAGCACATAAGCACGCCTCCATGCATTCTTTTAATTCTTTTGACTGCTAAGAACGTGTCTGTACGTCCAGCGGGAACCGCGCCTCATGTGCTATGAACGTACTTGCAAGTCTAGGACTTGCAGTGCCCCCACTGCAATGAAGGTACACGTACAGTATCCCTGGTGTTTGATTTCTTTCATTTCAACATGATTGTGAAATTTGCATCTGCGACTGGTACATTTGGAATCGTCCTAAGGTTTTAAGACTTCTTTTCGTTCACATAGAAGGAGTTAGGCTCAAGGCAGAACCCGTCGCTGACGGCGCCATGTAACCACGCGAAGTTCTCAGCATAGTGGTCCGCACCACAGGCCGAGACCTCAGCACAGTAGAGATGACAGCGGCGTACAGCGATTAGCAGGCAAAGGGAGTTAATTAAATCATATAATGAATGGATAAGGGATTTTAAATGAGAAATTGTGCTATAGGAGGTTATTGAAATGAAATAATACGCAGTAAGCCAGCTACAAATATTATCTCCCCTATTTAAATAAAATATGAACCTAGTCTTTCTTACGATTCCAGTAACTATGCCTTTGACTTCATCTGAAATGCGAGTAATTTTGATGGATAAGTTATTACATTACAGCCATAAACTGACTAGAATTTGAAGCATGGCATATCTGGGTGACCTCATTCACAGATCGCAAATTGTTACGTACATTCCAGAGTTTCGGATCGCGTATGGCAATGTATCGTCATTGACAAATTTATTTCATATTGATATACAAATTTTCAACTTAATCATAAATTATTTCATATCATTTGGGAAATTGTGAGTCTATGAAAATTTAAATAGTGCTCGCTACCTATTAAATACCAATGAATTAATAGAATCATTAATCGAAACGAATATTTAATTAATTACCACGCTGTGACATATTGAAGGAGAGGATAACGTTTCACGCTCAAATATGTATATTACAAATGTAAATCGATTAGTTAGCGGCAATTAAGTGTTATTTGAAAGTTCCTCTCTTCCGGAGACATTGTGCCACATAACCAAAAAGTTCGTCACCAAATTTCATTGACTTATTTATGCAAAAGTATATAACTTGAATCTGAGAATAATATTTTTTAGGAATAGTATAACAACAAAAGCCGATATTCTAACTTTGAATAAAAGTTACTCAAACTTTAGTTATTTTGTAAAATAAATAATTGCTTGATTTTAAAGATTTTTTGTAAATCATTTCTTTTGTAAATCATTTACACACGTAACTTTAATCAGCAAATGACTGGAATAACTTTGATTTCAATTTAACATTTTATAGGAACTTAACGATCATGTGCTACAGTGCATTGTAACGTATTAGCCAGCGTGCCTCATGGCATCTATTTGGGGACGCTTGGCAGAGGATTAGCCTTGCCACAGGAAGAAGGGTTTTTCGGTAAAGGGAAGAACGCGGAAACGGGAGACACAAGGCTTTGGGAGTATCCGGTCTATAGAAACTTTTCACTGTTATAACAAGCGAGGGGGTGGCGTGACGTAGTAGGTCACGTGAGCCTCGCCTATATAACAGAGTGTACAGAGCCAGTGGGTGGGTTCTGAAGACAGTGGGAGAACCTAGTGCGTGTGCACAAAACTTGGCGCCACGACGGTGCATATGCGAGCCAGGCTCGCGAGGCTCGAGTCACTAGTTGACCAAGCCTGAGGACTGTAGGTCCTTGGGTGACTGCGGTCACGGGGGAGCGATGCTGTGTGCGTGCTCCGAGGTGAAGAGTGGTTGAGTGCCACGATTCACGCCGATTCTCAATCGGATCAGATCGCTCCTGCGATCGAGGCAAACCAGCCGTTGGTGCGCCAGAACGGACTTTGTGTCCCAGCGTGACATCCGGTCACGGAAGCTAGGCTTTGTGCGCGCTTCAAAAGTAGGAGTGGCGAATGCCACAATCAAAACCATCTTCAATCGGGTTGGGATCGCTCCCGCGATCAGGGGATAGGTCTATCAGAGCTAGGGTGTAAGTAGATTATTAAGTGTATATATTTGTTTTGTTTTATTTGTTAATAAATATATTTGTTATATGAAAGCTCTGTGTCTGTGGTCGCTGTGTCTGTGGTATCCATGACGTCACAGCATATAATTTCTGTACAAACTGAAATGACTGAAGTACTGCAATTACATAAAAACGTTTCCCCCACATTTACTGGCAAACCCGTGACTTCCGTGCTTAGCCGCAATGCTTTTACGCTGTGTCTTACATTCCCCATTGTTTGAAATTATAGCAAATGTAATTTACAATCCCTAGGATTTTTTCTCTGTGTATATTTCTTACTAACTATTATTAATCTTGCATATGTAGGTACTCACTAGATATCCCGGTGTTCGAGGTAAGGCAATATGGAAGGCACTATTTAGCTACAGATGATGTTTTCTTTCATCGCAGTCTTTCGCGAATTCCAAATGAATTACTGCATAAAGTGCCCGAAAATGTGTGTCGGAAATGTAATGTATCCGGGTCTAAAAACAATAGTTTTGGTACCTTGTTTACGATACGTAAAAAAAGACAGGGAAGTATTGCGGCTAAGCATGGAACCATGGGGAATGCGTGAGTATTCTGCAGTCGCGAAGACAAAATGTCCGCTCTAAAATAGAAAAGGCTGTAAAATAATAGTTCAGCTTTTATTGAAGTTCGTGAAACGTTTGTGGATGTTTCATGAACTTAACCGTTGAGTGAAAATGCGTTTTTATTAAAATACGTTACGAAAAAATGCGTTTTTTCCTAATTACTATTTTTAAAATACAACGTGCTTGAAACATAGAATATACTTGTACGGCTAGAAGAAATGTCGCATCTGATTTAGACTCATTGCATTTTCTTTCCAAGATACATACGTTTGTATACTGTGTGTTCCGCACAGTATAAAAACAGAAAGAAGTTAATTTAGAAAATTAATTTCATCTTTTTTCTCCGTAGATTTTTACAAACAATACACCATAATAGTGGCATCAGAACTTTGTGTAATAAAAGAGAAATGTTCTTCCCTAACTAAATATTTTGACTTCATTGTTATAACCTGCAGTAGAATTCTAGGAAAACAGATGCATATTCATTTCTCTTGTAAAAACGTTTTATGCACAGCGATGAGTATGTTTATGAATAAATAAAAAATAATCAAATTTGCGAACACTCAACGTAATGTAAAATAATAATCTGGCAGTTTTTATTGTTAGTTATCTAAATATATTTTCATTAATCTTTTAATGCCGACGAATATTTTATAGTTCTACATTTCGTACTCTGGTTCTTTCTCAGGCACACTTTTTGGCAGAATAGCTGTAAAAGTGAGTAAACATGTTATTTCATGTCGATTATAATATTGTGACGTAATTTCAATTTTTAGGTTAATTATTACTTTCTTACTGTTGCGTTCCGAGTATGTAAGAGAGCAGATTTACAGGATTATGACAAACAAAACATTTTGTAACACCATAATAATTGGATTTTCTCTCAGAAATCCACCAAATTTCGCTTCCATCGTAAATTTAATGAATTCACGCTCACGAAAGATTCATCGTCAGCACTTTTGTCCTTCTCCAGAATGAAGGAAAGAATGGTGGGCATTCTTATAATATAAAATCATAATTTTTAAAAAAAGGTGGCGTAAATTGTATATTTTTTAAAATCATTGGAAGGAATTGCTACATCACTGAATGACTTTTCAAATTATTATTTATAAGTTTAGAAATCTTTGTCGTGAATTCATTATAACAATCTTAAGAACTTCTTCGAGACAATTATTAATACTTTAGTATTTTAGAACTGTAGCACCTTACAATAATTCTACGTACAAATAATACCTTCCCACAACTTCGATTCGTCAATAGACGTGATTAATAATATAAAACCGAGTTATAAACTCCTGTGCGCAACTTGAGTATCAGCAGCTCTTCAGAAATGCACTGCTTCACCTTCTTTATCTTGCCAACCACGTATTCCGACCATGATACATAAAGTTCTGGAAAGTTGGAAATTCCGACCCTTCTTAGTGGTTGGCTGAGCTCCTTTTTGTGCTCGCTCTTTTCTTTTACTTTTTGTCGCCGGCCAACGACTTGAAGATAAAAGACATTACTTTCAAACACCAGCCCACGTTTAAAATGAAGTTTCAAAGAGTTCCTTAATATGAAATTCACCACTAAATACGAGTCTCCCGTCATAGTGTAAAAACAGAATTGTTTTTTTGACGTATTACTACCTTTACTATGTGATCAGTCTATCTACGTTTTCATGATTACATCAATTTATTTCCAAATTTGGAAATATACACTGTTATGAAATGATCTTTCCACGTTCTGTTTTGTTTTAAACGATAGGATTTTGTTGAAAATGCTTCAAAGCTTTTTGATACAAGATATCGTTTCCCTTACGTTTCCTACATGACCCAAATTGAATGTAAAAATGAACTATGAATACCGTAAAAACTCTCCAACAATGTGACAAGTTTGAAGTAAAACCGCCTTTTTTCCAATAGTTTGAAATTTCTTCGCAGTCCAAATTTTTCAAATTATTTTAAAAATTCGTTGACATCACTCTTTCCTATGAAATCACCAAGGCATAAAGACAACTTTAAATTACCGCCATATCTGTTTTAATTCCATTGCAAGCTCCTCCTACTTCATGATCTTCTCTAATACAGATTTCCAGATGTTATCGGTCAGAGGAACTGCAAAATCAATTATAAGACGTATTATTGATTTTGTCGGTAAGGATATCAGGTCTGTTATAATTCACTGTTTTGTCCATGATAACAAATCTGTCCCAGTACATCACATGCTTCATTGTTTCCAATACCAGGCTTGGACTATTCTATTTTTAATTTGAAGTAGGAGTATCAAGAAGACCGTGTTTAACAGCTAATTCATTGTCAATCAATTTTGCGACTCTTCGAACATGTGCGTTGTCTGATAATGTCAAACAGTCAGACATTACCTGTACAATGGATTTGCCGTACTATTATTCTTATTATTTAGCTCTTGTAGCTCCGCCACACTATGCATGTGAATTAACGTTCAGGTTACGTGTGATTTTGATATGTGAATATGTGGTGGAAATTACCAAGTGAAAAGTTTTGTAAACTTCATTATTTCTGATACTGCAGTTCATTACTAAACTAGTTTTGCCTGATACCATCACGCAGTAATTGTCGGTGTCACCAATTGGTAGCGAAGTGAAGACTAACAAAAACGAATGAAATGTTCCGTTTGCAATCTCATACTTAACACGATTGTAAATCATTACGTTCAAACCAATTACTTTTTGTAAGAAATAATTGTGTATTAAATAAAATGATAGTTAAATAATAAATATTGAAATTGAATTATAAGAGAATCGTTTCAATACAATAATATTTTTTCCCTTACTCTTTTCCACTTACGTCAGCCTGGTCTCATGACTTTCCTTTTCCAATCATGATATGAAATGGAACATACTGACTGTTATTCCTTCCTTCTCATTGATCCAGAATGTATTAATTACCCTTTGAATTTTATTTATATTCAGCTCTTCAGAATTGTTTGGAACTACCCCAAATATCAAAATTTTAGATTGATTGGCCTTATGAAGACAACAATGTATTCTCAAAACACGATTTTTATAAAAACTAAAATCTTGGTATGGCATCCTAATGTAAATGTAATACACAACCCAATATTATTTAGTCCATATTCATTAAACAATTAATCGGGTCTTAAAACAGATTTCACTTTATACAAAACTGCCCTACGCCCTCTGCGATCACATGCATGTCTTGTACGACTTAGAGGAGCCCCGGAACAGAAAACTCTTCGCAGATTTCAGAAAAAAATCCTTCGCGCTTTTGTAAGAGGTACGTTTCCATGGTACGTTTCTAACAAGCAATTACCCACAATTGACATTTCCATTTTCAATCATTAATCATTAATCAATCAATCATCTATCATTAAATATCTATCAAATACTTTTTTTTTCTACTTTCCTCTCCAGTAACTAGAAGTATCAGAGTAGGAAAACCCTTTGAGCATCGCAGAAGAATCCAATCCACATTTCCAAAAGATAAATTCAAAAGTCCCTAATAATAAGAATTTATTGCTATTCTTACTTCGTGTAACACTCCTTTTTCATAACATAATGTATTCTTCCATTTTCGATACCCATAAATTTTAGAAACATTCATTGAGGACTCCAGTGGGCGTGCTATCGCTATTGTGAAACGCTAGAGCTAAGTTTGCTAGGTTACAAATTCTCTGGCCACTTTTGTAAAGCGTTGCCTCGCTGTATAAGAAGACTCTAAATAAAGATAAAAGCAGTAGAAAATGTAGCAGCTTGTTGTAAAGCGGCACTGTGTGTGTGTGCAGACGCTGGTGCGTCGCTTCGAGGAGTCGGCGCCCGGCGAGCTGCTGCTCATCCTGCTGGACGACCTGCACCGCCTCAACCCGCTCGACTCGGACATCGTGGCGGCGCTGTCGTGGCTGCCCATCTCGCTGCCGCGCAACGTGCACATCGTGGCGACGACGGCGCTGCCGCCCGAGGCGCTCAAGCTCACGCCGCTCCAGCGCGACCGCTTCCGCGCCGCCGACTGCTTGCTGGAGCTGCCCGCACCCGCGCCCGCGCCCGCGCCCGCGCCCGCGCTCGCCCCAGGTCGGTCGTTAGCAGCGCGAGGTCGTTGTAGATCCGATCGCGATGGAAAGAGATGGGTGTGCCCTTGTGCATCGTGTTCTACTTCAGACAATGAGCGTCAGGCACCAGTTTGCGTCTCAATATTTGTGGGAATTTTAAACGCCGAAATTATCACGTTATAGGTCACTGAAACAGATAAACGAAGCATTTCCTTTAAATATTGCAACCTTTACGCCTCCATCGTGTTATTTTAAGTTGACCGGGAAAGATGGCTCAGGGTATCAACTGATGTTACTGCAGTCCCTCTGACCCGAAGGTCCTAGGTTCGAGGCCTGACGTGGCATTTTCGACGCTTGTTAGCTAGGTCTAGTTCAGTCACTGTCTGGAGGAGAATTCTATCGGCCGGCTGCTCTGATCGGTAGTTTTCCGAGTTTTTCTCAAATCAACACCAGGCGAATGCCGGAGCAGTACCCTCACAAACGTGCCACGGACCGGGCGCGATATCATCTTCCACTTCCTTGTCCTATCCTCACCCCTTACACACTTACACTAACATGCACTACACTTCCACATACGCCGGGATACCAGTGAGGAGCTGAGAGCTTGCTCCGACTGAGGCGGTGCCCCGCTCGTGGGAGATGCCAGTTTGGGGAAAACCTCGTTAGCCGACGGCAGGTCGGCGGCAGATCTCGCTATTCACCGGGGGAAAGATCACCACCTCCTCCCGAGCAAAGAACATGCATTACACTTGGGACTAATGACCCTGGTAGCCGACGTGCCCCGAATCACTAAAGAATCAATCAATGCATAATTTAGGTTGGTTAGCGTTGAAAATAATCACTTTGTATCATTTTCAAAATATTTCTCAATAGTATCGGTGCCATGCGACATGACGGCTAGCGACTGGTTTAGCATTTCCAGAGATAGTAGAGAGATCACAGGGCTTTATAAACGAATTGTCTTTGCGAGGGTCACGAGGTTTGTGACGCAAACTGGTGCTGCACAGAGAAAGCAAAAATCGGTGCTCCAGAATTCTCATCCATCTCATTCCACCATGGAGTAGATAACGGACGCGGTTGACACTTGTTCACCGAGGCGGTAGTCGATAGGCATATATGACCAAGGGAGTACGTTAATTGTAATATCGACCGTAAACTTTAATACCTTGCTTAAGGCCCCTCATCTTATTAGTCTCATGTAAATAATGAATACCTTTTCTTGTACGCATGCGCCATCTTTAGCTATAACACACAGTTTTTCGATTGTTCATAACAGCCGAAGGGCTTTCAGAATCATTAACGAACACCTGCCGGCCGTTGAGAGTGGTATTTTGTTCCTCTCTTTGATTGAGATTTTTTGACATAACTGATGGTATTAAATTACTAAAAGTATTCACAAATTCAGAGAAAAAAAATTGACCATTTTTGTGATCCAATCATTCTATCTTAGTTATTGTACTGCCGTTATTGCAGCAACGTCATTGTAACTAAGCTATTTCATTTTTACTCATAATTTTTCCCGCTTGCAATAATCAATCTGATTTAACTAGACTTCTAATCAAAGTTTTCGTTTTCTATTTTTAAATAAAATATATCTGTACTAACTTTAAATGATCAACGCAGTCTTATGCCGTTGTAGAAGCACGCAGAAGCGTTTACAATATAATAATAATAATAATAATAATAATAATAATAATAATAATAATAATAATAATAATACCGACAGCAATACATCGCACGGCACAAAACTGCACTACCTGCTCCCTACTCCAGCGTACTGTACTGAAATGCACTGCCGCATATATCAACGCACGTGGACGCACTTTTGATTCCAACACTACCCGTGAGACTTACTTCATCTATTATTACTAAAATAAACCCAACTTTTTTCTACAACTACAAACATCGCGAAGATGAGTTAAACAAATTCCCCGGATAAATTATTTCTAACTCTTTGTAATTTTATTTGCATTGTCGAATGAAAACGTCTCCTCGCGTGCCCCTTGCTGCCTTTGCGCCTCGTGACCGGAGGGCGTCGTGCGCAGGCGCGGAGTCGCTGGAGGCGCACGTGGAGGCCGCGCTGGACGAGCTGGAGGGCCGCTTCGGGCGCGTGGCCGTGGCGCGGCTGGCGGGCTTCCTCACGTGCACAGAGTTCGGCCTGAGCGAGACGGAGCTGCTGGAGCTGCTCATGCCCACGGCCAACAGCAGCGCCACCCTGCGCCTCGCGCACGGCCACTTCACCTTCTCCTCGCTCTGCGCCGCGCGCCGACGCATGGGTGAGTAAGCGGCAGAGGCGTCGCTCGGCGACTCACCTCTCAGTTAAAAAGAAACCACAGCTTGCTCAAATCCTATTGTACTGCTTCGATGGACGGCAATGTAGAATAGGATGAAATGTATGGTAATGAACCATATATATATATATATATATATATATATATATATATATATATATATATGTGTGTGTGTGTGTGTGTGTGTGTGAGTGTGTGTGTGTGTATGGGTGCCATAGATGTATACAGGTCTGTGTATGTTTATATATTGAGTGTATATGCTCGAAAGGAGTGTATTGTAAATTGTTTTTATATGGTAAATTGTGTTTGAATTATAAATGGTCATAATTATTAGGTCTGTCAGTCCAAGATCCCGGCGCTCGCCTTCAACGAGGTCTGTGGACACCATAGACACTTCCACCCTCTTTTCGTCTTATCCATTTCCATCATCTCCCTCACCACCATCGCGATCTTCATCATCATTATCGTCATTCACATTGCCTCATTAACCTCACCGCCTCCAGACTCCCCTGGCTACCTAAGCATTTTGACGTTCACTTATTTTTATTTTATTTTACCTTAAAAGCAATAAACGACGCATTTCCGCAGTCACATGCTTTTATTGTGCTCCTGCTTCTACCTCTCACCCCCACACCTCAACCGTAGATTTTATTAAAAACCTTCAATTTGGATTTGTGATGTTGACATTTTCTACACTGAGTTTATCAACTGTTTCAGAATGTCTTTCTTTCTATTTTTAATTAGATTTTTGCATTTGAAATTTGACTTACGCAGCTTGAAGAACTGTGGGATCAAATACCGCTTCGGTCCTTTATGTTTGCTTCTACGCAGTGAAATGTCCCAAACTTCATGTACCACTTTTCAATCATTTTTCTTTCAATCTCCTGAATATACACTCTCCTTCATAATCGGCTTCTATCCGAGATAGATCCACGGAGTGCTTCAGCACTAAAAGTAAGAAATACACCGAGATGAACCTAAGCGCTATCTCTGGTAGCAAGGCAGGGGAGAGATATTCCTGGGTAGATGTAGGGAAAATGTTGAAAGGCGACGGGAGTCTGTGTTGAAGCAACCCGCGGAGAAGGAAGGCATAATTGGGATGGGTGTATTATGTACAGCAAGAATTTGAACTTGCCACGCTCGAGCGCACCATGCACAGCGCGCGCTTGGAGGCCGCGAGAAGCAGCAGTTCGGGCGGGTCATGCTCGGTCGGCCCCGGGGCAGGGTTCGAGTCTCCGCCTACAGCAGCGCCCGGTGTAAAACAGACCTGCCGGCACCAACAAAAGAGTACCACTTCACACAGCATAGTGAAAGTTCAACGCGTCAGGCACTACGGAGATTAAGTCAGCGAGTGTGCTGCGGGCTACGGTCGTGGGGAGAGGAACCCGGGCGACCACGCCCCAGGGAGAGAGCCTGCTGGTGCGAGCCTGCGCGCCAGCGAGAAGTCAACCGGCGGTGCCTTATAGACGCAAGGGAGTGGTGATGCACAGCGCCGGGAAAGCTGTCTGAGTCACTTGGGTAGTTTATACGTTCTTTTGGGGAAAGGTTTATATCTGTACAAATTTTGGTGAATAAACTGTTCGTTGAGTTTAACCCCTGTACTGATTATTCAGTGGAACAAGAACATAACAAATCATCTAACAAACCATCTAACAAATCAAAACCGAGTTAATATAAAAGTGTCCACATAATCGTCCGATGCTCGCGTTATGTTTACTCTTTCCTTATTATCTGTCCTTCTACTTTCTCACCATGACCTGAACTGCAATGAATTTTCTCATTCCGGGTGCATCGATTAATTTCGTTATTTTAGATATTCTAAAATCAGCTTTTTAGCTATTTGCTAGAAATACTATTTGTGGTAAATTTGAATTGCAGTTAAGTTCATCGTATATCACTTTGAATCACTTTTTTTATTAATAAACGAACAAAAAATATAATAAGGAAAGTTATAACTAACGATCATTCTAAGTCATTTAGAAAAGATTCAAGAATAATAAAAATTGCTAACTAATCACTAATCGTGTTCATCTATTTTCTTCTTGTTTCAAAGAATAAAGTTAAAAAAATTTCAACCTGCTATAAACGTTAAAGCAATCCCAAACATTTCAACAATTTTTTTATTATGAACTGGGGAGTTATAACAATTTTGAAGTACATAACCCATTAATTTAATCTCTATACAACGTTCCCATCTAGAACACTTTAAAATACAAAACAAACGACAAAAGCACACCATGTTATGCATTGAAAGCTCAAAAACTCTTTTAGAATTGTACGACCGACCGAAAAAGCTTTAAAAGGACTTAAACGTAGAAGCAGATGAAAAATTTGCTCCCACAACTTTTCGGGCGATATCGATTTCATTTTCCCGGGCCGGGCGCGGCGTGTGCGAACGCTTTTTGCGCGTTTCCGCCGCGAGGAGGCCGCGCTACCTGCACCGAGGGGCGGTCGCCGCTCGCCGCCCACGCACGTCGCGTTGCCGCTGCAGCGCCCCACGCCGCGCC